GTTGTGCAAATAGAACAAAATAATACTGCATGGATTACAATCAGGAAGGATGTACATCAGGGTTGTGTCCTCTTGTATTAGTCTAGGTACTCTGGAGAAACAAATCCACAGCAACTCACGTATGAGAGAGTTTTATGCAAAGAAAATGTGCATCATGAAAACATCCCAACCCGATGCTGCCCAAGCCCACACGTCCAACATTAACCCATACCCAACACCAGTCCACAAAGTCCTTCACCTCACAAAACAGAGGCAATAATGCCAACTTCAGGAGGAAAGCTGTCAGTGAACATGTAAGCATCTCAGCACTGGCAGGGGTCTCCACACGGCTGCTCCAGCACCCAGGGCTGCATCAGAATAGATCCATGCGGCTTCTCCTTGGGGATGTCTTGTAGGAAGTCCATCTTGCAAGCTGAAGCAGGGAACTGCTAAGGCAGCTGCACCCGATGCAACCATCACAAAACAAGAGACCCGAGAACTAGAAAGGCGAGGCTTCACCACCCATTTATCCCTCCGCCTTTCAACCAGCACCACACGTGATTATCGGCCAGGCTGGCATAATTAACTAACTCACCTCTCAACATACTTATTCAATCTGTATACTTGGAAAATAATCAAAGAATCCAAACTATGTGAAGAATTACGCATCAGAATTGGAGGGAGGCATATTCATAGCCTTTGATAGGCTTATGATGCAACCTTGCTTGATGAAACAAAGGAAAACTTGCTCATGAAAAGCAAATATGGCACCTAACAACCACAAAAATAACTCACCCAGTTGCACCCTGGAAGAAATAGCTGACAATCTATAATGATATAGCCAAGAAAACCCTAGGGCATGTAATTCTACTCTGTATCACTTGGGGTCACCAGGAATAAGAATTGGCATGAGACCATTGGGTTAGTTGTAGTTTATGAACAATCTGAATTTGAAGCTAGAGGTAGAGGTGAGAGTCCTCATGAGATGTGGACTGCCATGACTGTCCCAAGACTTTTACTTTTCTCCTTCCTCGTCCATTAATTTAATAAGCCATGAGAGATTGGGATTATATACATCAATTATTCTAATTATGAGCTCTGCAAGTTGTATTCTCAAAGACATAGAAGGATAAATGATTAGTCTGTGTCTCCAACCCTTCAGAGTGCCCATCTCAGTCCCAACAGGCTATATACATGGGCCTCTTCTCTCAGAACCTTCATCAACATCAGAACACTAATGCCGGAGCTACCTTCCAGCTAGTCCTGAGAAAGGAGACTTGGCTCTAATTGCCTGCCAGGCAGGGGATGAACAATGGATTTACATTCTTTGGAAATATCCCAGAAGAAAAACCATGCAACCCAGTAAGTGCAGACTGATACTAGAATAGAAGATTACTTTAGATCAGAAAGACCACAAGGCAGTCAGTATAGCATCAAAGGAGTGTCCAGTATTAAAAAAATTCAGTTAAGAAGTCTATGAAGTTTACATTCTTTGTACTGTTAGAGATTTGAAATCTCTCTGACTGAGAGTTCTGCTCACCACTGTTTCTACTTTGCAGATGGACTGCCCCACAGAGTAGAAAATGGGTCCCACTAAACTGTCAAATGGAGTCTAAGGGTGGTGAGACTATTTAGTGCCCTTGGAAATTCATGGAAATTTGTGGTTCAAACCAACCTAGAAAAAACTCAGAAGAAAAGCCTGGTAATCTAGATCCAAAACATTAGCTGTGAAACTCAACGAAGCATAGTTCTCATAAGATCCATGAGGATCACGATGAGCCACATTTGACTGTATAGTAATGAGTGTGTTTTTTAAACAGCTCCTTAGTAAACAACAATAATAAAACACAGTTGCTAGTGGAGTTGATTTAGCGTCATGGCAACCACATATGTTGCAGAGTTGACATGTTCTTGTAAAAATCATGCTTTTCTTTTGAGGCACCTCCAGATGGGTTGAAACTGGTAACTTTTTTTTTTTTTTTTTGGCTCACACAGAGATTTTAAAGTACCACTGAGACACTGTGGGGCAACCATTAAGGCAAGGATGTGAATAATGATGCTAATAATGATAATGTCCATCATTTGCTAAATTGTTTTAAAGATTTCTTAGAGCTCTAACTGAGCTATGTGAAGTGTTAAGAGTTTTTGTTGTTGTTTTTAAATGACCTGCAGCTTCACCCCCCAAGATATGCATGCATAGATTATTGTTATTTTACAAAAAATACAACTTACTGCCATAGAGTTGATTGGGACTCATAGTGAGCCTATAGGGCAGGGTAGAACTGCCCTTGTGGGTTTCTGAGTCTGAACTCTTTATGGAAATAGAAATCCTCATTTTCCTCCCTTTTTACTAACAAGAAATATACTTTAACCACAATTTGGGGTCATGGTGCAGTGGGTTACATGATGGGATGCTAACTACAATCTCAGCAGTTTATCACTCTGTGGGAGAAAAATAATGCTGTCTGATGCCCTAAAGTTTCACAACCTCAGAAACCCAAGGGAGCCCTTCTACTCTGTCCTATAACATTGCGAACACTAGAATCTCCTCAATGGTAGGAATTTTAAAGGTGGATTCAAGAGTGCATCTAAGCAGTAAGACTCAATTCAAATAAAACTTAGTTAACATTCTAACCTGTCAACACATCTGCTATTTATCTACCTGGGTCAACCCAGATACAGTGCTTTTGGAATAGTGTGTTGACTCAATCTCATTCATTTCTTCTTGCCCAGAACCATACATCATTCTTTTCATAGTAGAGGACATCAATATAAAATGTCTCTTTAAAATTATGACTATCCTTTATAGTCGCCAGTGACTAAGCATAATCAATATGTCCTCCATACACTGAGTGCTTGTCAGTACTTTCAACCCTGTTGGAATGTCCAATAGGACCAAAGAGATTAAAAAATACTTGGATATTTCACTCCAAGTTCCTCATCTATAGCTCTCAAGGAAGATAAATGGCTAGTTGGATTTGCAGGTTAAATATTTACCATGTGACCTGTATAAGAAGAGGAAGACCCCCAACAAGGTGGATTGATATTGGACTGCAACAACGGGCTCAAAAATACCCATGGTTGTGAGGATGGTGCAAGATTGTACAGTGTTTCTTCCTGTTGTACATAGGGTTGTTATGAGTCAGGACCAACTCAGGGACACCTAACAAGAGGTGCCCAGTGAATGGAGTTGAATTGCCCAGCTAAATAAATAAGATGTAATAGGACTTGTGTGAATCTGAATTGGGAATTTTTATGGGATAATTTTTAGTTTGATACCATTTATATAAATCAACTATCTACTGCCATTGAATATACTGAATGATAACTGTAAGACATTACTGTATGATGTGCACTTGCCCTTTATATAAAACTCTCTCATACATAAAAAAGACATTACTGTAGCTTTATGGTGTGCTTTGAGACTGGAAAACATTAGTACTCTTACTCTTTATTTTTAAATGGTTTGAGAATTGATTTTTCCATTTTTGAAAAGAATGGTTGCATGTTGATTGATGATTTACTAAACCTCTAGGTTGCTTTGCATAGTATTGACAAAATAAGTCTTCCAATTTATGAGCACAGAAATGACCCTTTTTTAGAGCATCTTTGTCTTATTTTAGTAATGTCTTATAGTTATCAATGTGTTAGTCATTCACAAATCTCAGGGTTAAATTTATTCCTACTCTACTGCGATGGACAAATCTTATGTATCGTTTCTGAGAATGTAAATCCTTATGAGATCAAACCACCTCATCTTTCTCTGAAAAACGTATTCCTAGTTATTTCATGTTACTAGAAGATATACGAAATTGAATTGCTTCAACAATTTCATTTTCAGATGTTGCCCCCAGATGCACAAGCATATATATGTGTGTAGTTTTGACCTTGTGTCTGACCACTCTGCTGCTGAATTCAATTACTGATTTTATTGAGTTCTATGTATTAAGTATCTTGCTAATCTGCAAAAGGTATAATTTCACTTCTTTCTTACCAACGTGGATACCTTTATTTCATTTCTTTTTATTTCTTGCCTAATTTCTTTACCTTGAAGTCCAGTAAAATATTGAATAGCATTTGGGGGAATGGGTGTCAACTTTCTTGTTCTTGAAGTTAAGGAGAAAGTTCTCAGTCTTTCTCCATTAAATATCTTGTTAATGTGGGGACTTTCACAAGTAACATCTATCAAATTAAAATATTGGTACTGTTCCCATAAAGATTTGCATCTCAGAAACACTATATTGAGTTGCTATGACCCAAAAATGACTCGATTGCAGTAGGTAATTCCCATCTCATTTTTTATCATAAAGTATACTGTTTTTTATATTAAAATTTTTTTGTACATTGACTGAGATGACCATGTGGTTTTAGTTTTTTCTACTGATACAGAGTATTACAGAATGATTTATTTTCTTATATTGAACCACCCACACATTTCTGGGATGAGTCTTCTGTGAACATAGTACATAATCCTTTTATTATGCTTTTGGATCACTTTTGCTAACATGTGTTGCTAAAATTCGTGAGAGACATTGGTCTGTAGTTTTCTTGTAATGCCTTCGTCTTCTTTTGGTATCAGTTAATGAGGTACACATATCTTCTACCTGCCTTCCTTTCTTTTCCTTTGTTTGAAAAGTTTAAGTAGTATGGGAGTTAATTTTATAAATGATTGGGAGAAATTCCCAGCCTGTGAACTTTCTTTGTTGGGAGCTGCTTTGTTATTGCTTTTATCTCTTCCATTGTTATTGTTGTTGAAGTCCTTTATTTCTTATTGAATTAACTTTTGCTCCTCTAGCCTTCTTAACTTGAGGGTCTTTAAAGTGGATATGTACTTAAGGGTGTACTGAAAACAATGAAGAAATAGGTCCAAAAACAATGGCTTTGCTACAGCTGAGAAATATTGTTGAAGGTGACGTCTGGTACTTAAATGTGAATGCTTTATGTGTAAATATTCAGAGTTCAAGCTATAGTCACCTCCTTAGTTGTCTGTTTGTGTTCTTTTATGAGTCCTTCTTTTCTTTCCCTAAAGGTGTCTGTGCGATATGGAACCCCAGAATATAACACATGTGTCTGAATTCCTTCTCTTGGGCCTCTCAGGCGAACCAGCACTACAGATACCCATCTTTGGTATATTTTTATCCATGTATTTGATCACTGTGATTGGGAACCTGCTCCTTATCCTGGCTGTAAGCTATGATAGCCACCTCCACACCCCCATGTACTTCTTCCTTTCCAACCTGTCATTAGCGGACATTGTTTTCACCTCCACCACTGTCCCAAAGATGCTTAATGACATCCATATACAACACAAAGTTATCACCTATGTCAACTGCTTCGTTCAGTTATCATTGCTTAATTTTTTTGGAGGTATGGACAGTGGGCTAATCACTGCAATGGCCTGTGACCGATTTGTGGCCATTTGTCACCCCCTGCACTACCCAATTATTATGAACCCCCGTCTATGTGGTCTACTGGTTCTGGCTTCTTTTTTCTATAGCCTTTTGGATTCACAGATGCACTACTTGATAGTGTCACACTTTATCTTCTGCACAGATGTAGAAATCCCTAGTTACTTCTGTAACCTTCCACAGCTTCTCAACTTAACCTGTTCTTCCACGTCCACCAATACTATATTAGTATATTGTATGAGTGTCATCTTTGGTGGTGTTCCAGTTTCATTGATCCTTTTCTCTTACATGAGAATTGTTTCCTCCATTCTGAGAATCCCATCACCAGGTGGGAAATATAAAGCCTTTTCCACCTGTGGCTCTCACCTCTCCGTTGTTTGTTTGTTTTATGGAACAGGTCTTGGAGTGTACCTCAGTGCAGTTGTCTCACCCTCTCACAGGAGTGGTGCGGTGGCCTCAGTGATGTACACCATTGTCACTCCAATGCTGAACCCCTTCATTTACAGCCTGAGAAACAAGGACATAAAGAGAGCCCTGGAGAAGCTCCTCAGCAGACTAACTTGTTTTAAATACCATGCCATTGTTTTTGGTTTATGAATTAGAATAGGCAAGAAAAACAAATAAGTAGAGCTGGAAAACACGTTTTTTCTCATCACATACATTGTGTAGCTCTCTTTGTTTTCATTCCTCTTGGTGTTTCATATCAGAATAATGCTTTCTTCCAAAACAAAAAAACTCACTTTCATCGAATGGCTCTCAACTCAAGGGAGTCCTGGGGCCTTAGTGGCTATTCAATGTGCTGCTAACCACAAGATCAGAAGTTCAAAACCACTAACTGCTCCTCAGGAGAAAGATGGGCCTTCCATAAAAAGCTAAAGTCTCAGAAACCCACAGGGGCTATTCTATCCTGTGCTATAGGGTTACTGTGAATGCTTACTAGGACCATATTTTAGGGGATTAGGGTCCATCATAGGTAGCATCCTAATTCATACATTTGCTCAATTGAGTTCTGTAACATCTATAGAGTCTTTTGAAAAAATTAATTAAGAAAAAGGCATCCTGTTGAAATGTACAGCCTCTTAATGTTAAAAAAAAAAGTAATACTCTTTTCATGCCAATTTTCCATATGCTTATATCTAACCTATCTATTTATGCAGTTTCAGTATGATGATTTTGTTTCTGGTCCACAATTTTGACTTCATATTTGAATCATCTGATGCAATTTATCGCTGAACTGTACCACCAAAAAAATTTAATTTATTTGGACTGAGGTGTGTGGTAAATTGATATACAGTGAACCCTCGTTTATCGCGGTTAATCGGTTCTAGACCCTACCGTGATAAATGAAATTCCGCAAAGTAGGATTCCTTATTTGTAAATCAAATATTTTCGTAGTTAGAGCATAGAGTACATGAAAAAACACCCTTTAGTCACCATTACACTCGTATTACCCAATTTATTAAACGAAAAAGGGAAAATACAGTAAAACATTTTGGACGTTACAATTGTCATTTTTTCTTTTTTGTCTTTTTTATGGCATCAAGCGTGTACAGTATGAGCCAATCAGTGGCAGTAATGACAGAGCATGCGCTGTTACGCAAAACCCGCGATAGAGTGAAACCGCGGATGTCGAAGCGTGAAGTGGCGAGGGTTCACTGTATTTCTCAAAACTTCCAGCTGGTTCTATTGAAGTTCTAATGACTTCATTAAAAACTGATGACTTAAGTGAGATGATTTTTAATAAAATAATTAATATGTCTTGGGTCCTTTGCTTCTCATGGGCTTTTGCTAAATGTTTTATAGTTATCAGAGGCACATAGGGGAAGGTGTTAGAAAAACAATACTACAGGCTTTTCTCATATACCTGGGAATATTTCTTCATAAATTTTCTCTTTCCACAGCATAGATTCAGCTGGAGTACTAGATAATAAACTCTTGCCTTTCTACTCCAAAATAAACTTTTTGTAGTATAATTTGTGATTTCATACTTTGGTTTCCATTTGACTTTCTTATGATGTTCTTCTAATACTTGTCTATAAAAATCACCACTCCAATATGACCGGTGTTTTTGTATTTTGACATGCTTAATGTTTCTGAAGATTGAGTCTCTGTGTACTCATTTTAAAATGTCTTTCAGCCTTTTAATAACTATTTTTAATAGCGACATATATTAAATGGTCTCCATTAAAATAACTAGTATGGTTTCTCCTTGATTGAACACTCTCGTAACTTTCTACCCACTACCCAATTTCAAATTGACTGAAGGTAGGTTCTCATGTGTCTGTATTGGGTAGGCTACAAATCATCTCAGGTAAAAGGGTGATTGTAAATAGTATTCCTTCGTCAAGGGTGTACAATTGAGGCTGAAGGTGGTGATGTCATACATCTGGTTGCTATGTCCTCAGTAATGGTGCCTGAGGATTATGGATAGATTTAACTCTAGCTTTAACTATTCCAGGATCATAAAAGGCCATATCCTGAGCAATGAAGAGCTCTACTTTAGTAAAAACCTCCTTGGCATTACACTGTAAAATGATGATTTCTTACATTCTGCCATGAGAAATCAGTCCTGGTGTTCTTTCTGTCATTCATTACATAACCCTCCCTCTTTCCTTTAGATGAGACCCTCATAGTTCTTGATGTAACAATTTGTGCTAGTTATCTAATTGTTTGTCAATTTGAGGATTAAGAGTGTAAGGGTGGAGTCTAGCATGTCAATCAGATCATAGCCAAGGAGGCCTCTGTGTGGGAATGGCCTTCTCTTGAGAATTCTGGGAAATCCTGTATTCCTTCTTAGAGGTGGGAGACACTATCTTTCACTCTGCTGACTCCCTGGGAAACATTCCAGCTCATAAGACACATGGAAATATGCTAGTGCCCTGAGCTGGAGAAGCCACATGGACCTTTCCTGATGCAACTAGACATCTGAAGCCAGAGAAGCCATGTAGAGACCCCTGCCAGTGCTTGGGACTATGCTAGTGCCCTGAGCTGGAGAAGCCACATGGACCTTCCCTGATGCAACCAGACATCTGAAGCCGGAGAAGCCACATAGAGACCCCTGCCAGTGCTGAGAAGCTTGCAACACCACTGGATCCAAAGACTTTCTACCCACTGGCCTGTGATCATCCTGCATTCAGTGTCATGTGTTTCATGAGTCTGAAGAGGACTTTATAGATTGGTATCAGATATACTGATTTAAGGGATTGGACTAGACTGGGTTGGGATGCTTTCTTAATATGCAATTACCCTTTCTGTAAAACTCGCTCTTTTACACATATGTGTCTCCTTGGATTTGTTTCTCTTCTCTACCCAGACTGACACACAATTAGATGTGGAAAATATGTACAGTAACTAGATTAAATTACTCTGCATTTTAGTGCTAACCTGAATCACCATCAAATTTGATGCTCAGAAACTTTGATATTCAGCATGTTGTTTAACCTTGGTATCTGACAGACTAACTTATAATTTCATCTATACCTGATGAAAGTGTGTGTAGTTTAAGAGCAGGAAATAAACATGTGTTCATTATGTTCAGTGTTCAGTTACACCTTCATGTAAAAAGACCCCAAAACACACACATGGGATAGAAAAACAACATCATGACAGGCTATAAAGAATGACTGCTGTTTTCAAGGACTTCATTTTACTTGAACCACAAGCAGTACTCATCAAAGTGGAAGACAAGAAATCAGATGACATTTTGCATTATGTAAATTTTGGGCAAAAGTTCTATTTACTGTATTAAAAGAAAGAGTTGTCACTTTAAGGACAATGGTCCCCTAAAGCTATCATGCCCAAAGTATGTTAGATAACGTTTCATTATGTTGCCATTGTTAGATGTTGCTATTGTTAGATGCTGTCAATTCTGACTTGACATGTCTATGTGTGACAGAAGGAAACACTGCCATGTCACATGCTACCCTCACAATACTTGTTAAGTTTGAACTAATTGTTACTGCCAACATGTCAATCCATCCCAAAGAGGGTCATATTTTCTTTTGTTGACCTTACCAAGCATGATGTCCATTACCAGGGACTGATTTCTCCTGCCCAAAATTTGTGAGACACATGTCTAAAGCATATGAGACAAATACTAGCCATCCTTGCTTTTTTGGCATTTAAAAAATTAATCATTTTATTGGGAGCTCTTACACATATTATAGCAATGCATAATTCAAGTAGATTAAGCATAATCATATAGTTGCTGCCACCATCAGCTTCAAAACATTTTCATTCTACTTGAACTCTTTGATGTCAGTTCCCCTCTACCAGCTCTTCCCCACTCTCCTACCCTAGCCCCCAGGAACTCTTATTATATTATATGTAATTTTTTATTATTTTGCCATATCTTACACCATCCAATGTATCCATTCACCTACAATTCTGTTATTTGCTCCCCTCAAGTGGGGTTATACAATAATCATTGCTATCAGCTCTCCCTTCCCCCAACCACCCCGCTCTTCCTGTACCTCAGGGAATCATTACTCTGTTACTACTTCTGAAGGGTTATCATCTTGGCTTTGATACATCCAACAAACTTAGTTATACAAATGAACATACACAGGTCTAACAAGATTAATGAGGTAAAACAAAGACCATCTTAGTAAGGGGTGGAAATATTAAAGAACTAGAGGATAGTTATGTGATTCATCAGTGGTATACAGGACCCTGGATATATCATCCCTTCCATGTGGTCTTCTGTGGGGTACTGTCCAATTATCTTACAGGTTTGCATCTCCAATTTGTTTGTGCTCCTTCACATCAATTTGATTGCTTGTTTTTGAACTTCTGATACTTATTTCTGTTGACACCTGTTCATCACACAGGCCGGTGTGCTTCTTCCATGCAGGCTTTGTTGCTTCCCTGCTAGATGGCCACTGTTTAACTTTAAGACTTTAACACCTCAGAGGCTATCTCTTTTACTAGCTGGGAACCATCAGCTTTCTTCACCACAATTACTTATGTATCCATTTTGTCTTCAGCGATTGTGTCTCAAAGGTGAATATCATACAGTGCCACATTATTAGAACAAACCATTCTTTTCCTGAGGTAAGATTTAAGTAGAGGCCCAAATCCCTCTGCTTCCTTGTTGTATTTACATATATATTGACAATTACACATATTTTAATATAATTACACATATACATATCTATAATAGCTAAAGAAAATGGAAGGAATGAAGTTACAGAGTGGAACAAAAATTTCAAAGAGTAGCTCAAAAAGATAAAATATTGTAATGAAATGTCCCAAGACCTAGAGTTTAGAAATCAAAAATGAAGAAAATGCTCCCAATATCTTAAAATGAAAGAACTCAAAAATTCAAACATCAAGTTGCAATATTTAAAAATTCTTTGGGTAAGATATTGAACAATACAAGAAGCATCAAAGTAAGATGGAAAGAATACACAGAGTGACTGTACCAAAAATAACTTGTTGACATTCAACCATGTCAGACAGTAGCTTATGAGCAAGAACCAATAATACTAATGAAGAAGTCCAAATAGCACTAAAGGCATTAGCTAAATACAAGACTCCAGGAATTGATCAAATACCAATTGAAATGTTTCAACAAGCTGATGAAGAACTGAAATTAC